CAGATTTGGAAGATAAGTTAACCTCCCTAGAAGAGATTGGAAAAGTGAGTGCAAGAAAATTGTTTTGGTGGAACTCTATATTGCCAAATAAAGAAGTCTAGACTTTGTTCATAGAACAGAGGTTCTGGACCATAGGTCATAAGGCTTACAAAAGCATTATTAGGCCACAGTTATTTCCACAGTTTCTGACTTAGAAGGTCTGGGGCAGGGGCCTGAGAATTTACCATACTTATCATTTCTCAGGTGTTGCTGGTCTGGAGAAGACACGTTGAGAACTGTGCTAGAGTATGGGTAATTATGAAAGAATTTGAAGAGAGTAAACAGACCACATTCATATTTCAAGATGAGTCCTACTGTGAAGTCCAGGAGTAGAACAGGGGAAGTTCAGGAGTAGAACTGGAGAAGAGGAATGTTCCTGAAAGTTAATTAGCACCTGCTTGATGCCAGGTCTTGTTCCACGCATCCTCAGGCACACACTCATTCATACTCGCTATGACTCTTCTGTAGGTCTGCATGTTTTCATTTTGCTCATGAAGATATTGTGAGAATATGAGAGACCATAGCTGGTCTCAGAGCCCTTTAATGCTGTGCAGATTTGAACTAGGGTGGTAGCAGTGAAAATGATGAGAACATTTAATGGTGATGGAATATAGGAAAATAGAAGACTTCCCTTAATAACAGAAGCCTAAAAATAGAATTGGGAAATCTGAATCTTATTGGAAACGTGATGAAAGGTGAAGTGTACAGAGAACTTTAGAGAATCCCTGCATGAATTGAGTATCTGTTCTGTATCACTTTTATGTAATGATGACTATTTAAAAGTTTCTTATTTGAAACATTATCCTATTCTACAAAAACTTGCTGAAAGTGTTTGGAAAGGAGACAGTGAAGCCTTTTGTAAGGGTAGTGGAAGATGGTGAACAGGTTCATGGCATCCGACAGCTTATCTTCAAATCAAAAGTGATTAGCATTAAGACATGGAAACATATGCAATAGCACTGAATTGGTTGTATGAACTCTGCTGCACTGCAGACACTGACCTAATGTATTGATTTTGGAAATCCTGTATGCTTTTTCTTGCCAGAGGGCTTATTGAAATTGAAAATATTCACTGGATCAATTTCAAGACAAATATCCCAAGTCAGACTGGTTGCTGCTGAGCAAATTTTTAATGAAGAAAAACATCCATATATTGAAATCAGACTTTAAAAAGAAAGTCCCTAAATATGCATTTACTGTAAAATGTGGAAAATACGTTTTCAAAAATGGAAGAAATCAGTGTAATGGCATTGTAGGCGCATTTGAAATGATAGCAGATGTTCATTTCTTCTCTGAGCAATAAAATGTTCTGTGGATACAAAGATAAGTCATAGTTTAGGGAAGACTGCCATCTTAAGATGACCACAGTGCAGTGGTTGAGCAGAGTAAAACAAGAACATGGTTAATACATGATGGCAAGAGATGGGAGAGAACTGAAGGGATGAGGAAAGGAAGCCAGGAGAACTGCATCAAGGAGACACTTGAGTTGGTTCTTGAAGGCTGAGAAGGAATTTGTGAGATGATTAAGGGAGAGAAGGACATTTCGTTCCAAAGAACATGGATGGCAGCCATGTTGTGTAAGAATGTAGCTTTTTCTGAGAGCGGTGTGCAGATGAGAATGGTTACAGCAGTGTGGTAGAAGTGGAAGAGGGGGGAAAAGAAGTTAGGTGAACAAAAACACTTATAAAGAGTGCGAAGTACTTATGTAATGACTGATTTGGGTGGATTGTAAATTTTATGATATCAGGAGTCCAGTTTGACCCATATGTCAGTGCACTCCACAACCTAGCACAGTGCCTTGCATATTATGAGTTCTTCATAAATACTTACTCAGTGAATGAATGGCTCAGTCATAGAAGAATATTTTTTTTTCTTTTCATATAAAATAGAGGGAACCTCATGTTTTGAGCAGGGGAATAATATGATCATGAGGATAAATGGCAGTGTAGAAAATGAGTTAACAGTGGGCAGAGAGATAGCTATAATAGATTGGAGTTTTTTGGGCTGATGATTGTACCCATTGGTAATTTGGAATCTTCATTTAAAAAATAGAGAAAGTATATGACGTGTAATAGGAGCAAGTGTTGTTTGGTGAAATGTCAGTTAATGTGTGTGTTGCTTGATATAAACATTTTTTCCTATAGAATGCTTAAAACCTCTTGTAGTAAGAGAAATGTGGGAATGTGAGTGAAGAAGAAGGAATGGTTATAAAAGATACTGTTGAGAAAGACAAATGTGAATCTTAAATTACTGTCCATGGAATGGACATTTACATGAAAATGCTATTGTCCATGTGAACCTTTTTAGACAGGAAACTGTGTAGGTCAGCTTTCTGTTACTGTAACAGAAGACCTGAGATGACAAATTGAGAGGATTTAGTTTGGCTCATAGTTTTGGAGGCTTCAGTCCATGACTGGTTGACCTTGTTGCTTTGGCTCTGTGTTTTCAGAGTATATCATGGCAGGAAAGCTGTCCACTTTGTGGTGGCCAGGAATGAAAGAAGTATGGGCTGGAGTCCCTGTAACCCCTTCAGAAAACACCCCCAGTTATCTGACTTCCTCCCATTAGGCTCCACTTCTTAAAGGTTTCATCACCTTCCTGGTAGTACCACAGGCTATGAACTAAACCTTTAGCACATGCGCCCTTGAGGACATTTAAAATCTAGGCCTTTGGGGGACATTTAAGGAGAAGGTGCATTTACCAGCCCATGTCAGTATTTTTGCCTACTTCTTGGTTTTCACTGTATACTAATAAACTGACGTTTTGGTTTATTAGATATGGCAGTGCTTTGAAGTATCTTACTGAATATTCTAAATGCTGCAGAATTTCTCATCTATTTTCATTGTGCTTAGCTTATAAAGTGTAGGATGAGACCATACTCTGAAGAATTGTGAAAGTGAACTGAAAGTTTGATTTGATTATTGGCCAAGTTCTTTCATTTCTTCCCATCAGAAAACCAGAAAGGATGCTTAATTACATGAGCATGTCCGTGTCAACACAATTTTGTAAGAAAGTTTTGTAAATATTTTTCTCTTCTACCTATGACATGTACATAAGGGTAAATGTTGCCCATAAACCTGAGTTGGACTGACTGTTTAAAAGTTTATGGGCTCCTTTAAAGTCAGTTTAGTTGGATCCATTAATAGGGTTGACTGTGTTATGAATTTAGTTATCAGGTGTGAATTTTCTGTGG